CAGCCTTCATCATGCTAACCAATGTGCATTAGAAACTCTTTATTAAATTATTTTCTTTTATTCCTCAACATGCTTTCATGGTTGAAAAAAATTATGTCTCTATACTATGGTTGGAAAAACTTTCCAACTACTTTTATTCTTTTAATGGAAATCTCCAATAACTTTTGAATTGATTTTTTATGAACAAAAATGTATTTCATTTTTCAACCACAGACTTTCAGCTTATAAGTAATTTTTAAATGTTCCACTTGTGAACCGATCAACCATCAGTTGTCAGATTTTAATCAAACTTTTATTGTAATTCAAGATTTGGTCTTCTCAAACAATTCTTCTAACACATCTTGCCAAATCTAGGTCTTCACACCTTGAACAACAGTAGTTTAATTTTCTCCCGTGCTTGTCAATATTGGCCCCAACAAAGGTTTTTGTTGAATCATATTCACCATATGGAGTCATATTCCTATGGATTTTAGTTTTAACCATTTTGATATTATAAATTACAGATTTCCAATTATTTTTTTCAGCACTCAATGATTACGCATTTATTCTTTGTAATCTTGAAGTGGTAGTTTTCAGTCATTATAATTTTCAATAATCAGAAACGCCTCGGTTTCATACAAAACAGTGATTGCACAAATGCTTTTGTCAAAGTAATACACTGATTTTCATTTATTTTAATTTTATGCTTGTTAAAAAATCTATTTTTTAACCAAGTGTCTGCTTGAATTTCTATCTTTCATCAGTAAAAAAAAAATTTAATACAAAGATCTTCGTTTCTCCTTATTCATACTTTGTCTTAATACTTGTCCGCAAAAGTATCTCCTGGACAATCATATCCATTCACACTGTGAAATTATAACCAAAAATTATCAGCCATTTTATAGATAAACACATTGTTTTCCTTAAGGTTTTTTTGCATTAATGCCTTTATCTTTGAGCATCAGCCAACAGTAATTATTTGTTACTTCAATAACACAAATGCCGATCAGTAATACAGATGTTAAGTATACTGATGGAAAAAGAAACTCACATGTTCTGGAATGAGAATACTATAGTTATAGATTATGTACTTTTACAAAAAGTTGTCAATTTGTTTCAAGCCCTCTGACCAGCAATAAAGCTTGTGCAGTGAGGCATTGCAACTTGCCAATCACACAAAAGCTCGTTAGGTGCACTTTTACCCAACGAGATCCAGGTGGAACAATGCCTGATCAGGTCACCTTTACAAACGCCTTAATTCAAAGCTTAGGTCACTGCAAGAAAAAGGCCACATTTAGTCAGTTTTCTGTGCATTCCATAATGCCTGGAATGTCACTAGAAGCATGGGAGAGGGCCATTGGCATGCTGCAGGCAGGCATGTCATGTGCCAGCGTTGCCAGACACTATGGAGTAAGCC